ATTTTTATTTTTATTTAAAATAATTTTTAGAAAATAATTTATTATTTAAAAAACATTTTCATTTGTAGGCCTTGTTTGGTAATTGACGATTACCAATTAGCAGATTGTGTTAGCAATTCTGACCAGCAAATTATTTTAACGATTTATAGAGAGATGTTTGGTAAATTTTGTTTTTTTAATGATTAGTAGTTAATATATCAAAAGACATATATGGTCATGTGTATATTTTATAAAAAATAATTCATTAGTTATTAATTATATAATAATTTTTAATTATAAAAAATTAAATTAAATAAATAACATAAATATTTAAACAAATAAATAAAAATAATTGTTAATTATTAATTATATAATATTTTATCAAATTATATTTTAAATAATAATTTATTATTACTGTAATATTTATAATTTTTACATAATATAATTTTAAAAAGTTTTTTAAAAAAAATTAAACCGGAGCATGAGTCTGATCAAAACAAAAATCATGTTTTGTAGGGGTATTACAGAAACAAAATTATGTTTTGGCAAACCGCGAAAGCTAATTGGTGTGTCTGCAAAGTTGACGGTTTGTCATCAAAACGTTATCCAAATCATCTGCTAAGAGCAACAATATCAGAAGATAATTTGGGGATTAATTCACGGGTTTTTAGATTGAGTAAGCTACATGGAGGAGTGAGAAATAGGAGAGAGAGTAGATCAGCTCCTCCTGCAAGGAAGAGTTATTTCTCTTCCCAAAGGAAGAGAAATAAATGATCGCGCACAGCAAAGCCACGTCGAGCGCGTGCACTGGTGGCGCATCAAGCGCGCTATTCAATGCGCTTGACATATGATCTTTATTATTATTATTATTTTCTAAAAACAGTTTTTGATTTTTTTTTCTTTCCTCTCATATTCTCTTTCCTAATCATTCTTACAAAAAACTCTTCAAAAATCACAAATAAACTCCACCACGGTAGATGCTCTAACCAAACAAAACTTAAAATGTTTTGATAAGATCAAACTGTTAAAGTGATCAAATTTGTCAAAGTCTTATCAAAATGTCATTTACTAAACAAGCCTGTAGTATTTGACTGAATGTATTAAAAAATGACTTTTGTTTGGCTAAAAGTCAATTTTTTTTTTCTATTTTGTTCTTTAAAAAACTGAGTATAAATCTATTTAAAAAAAATTCTTATAAAATATTAATTATTTTAAAGATGATAATAATAATAATAATTTATATTAAATAAAATAATAAATTAAAATTTATAATAATTTTTTTAGTACTATTGAGTCCATTACAATGCAGTATCTGTTCAACTTACTAAGCACAAAGAGTCAATACTGTCAGCTCGAATCCACAACTTCCCATATGAGAGAGCAACTTGGTGCCACTAGACCACAATGTATAAATGCTAATAACAAGTATAGAACAACCTTGTAAAGAACTGAGGTTTTTTTTTTTTTTTTTTTTTTAAGGGTTTTCCCGAAAAAGTAGAAACGATATGACTTATGATACCAAATCCCGGCAGAATGACAATAAAAAGATGTAAATAAATGATGTAATTTTAACTTGTAACTTGTTATAATAAAAGATGGGGTTATATATGAGCCGTTGATCAAATCTAGATCAATGGCTCAAATCAATGAAAAAAAAACGAGCTACCCCAAATGCATCCATCTTCTTCAGGTTTACTCCAAAAGATAACAACTCCACTATTTGTTATTATATCATAATTTTTTTTTTGTTTTGAATTAGATCATTTTGAACTTGAGAACCAAAACTGAAAAAAGCCACTGTATTGTTGAATGAAAAGAAACTGTAAAAATGACGCGCCTTAAGAAGTAAAACAATGCACCTTAAGAAAGAAAATCACGCACCTAAAGCTTTAGACCGACACATCTTAATAAGGAAAACCACACACCTAAAGCTTTAGGCCAACGCACTTTAAGTTTCAACAACGGACGCACCTTAAGCACACAAATCACGCACTTTAAGAAGGAAAACCACGCACCTTAAGCACACAACACAAAAACCACGCACCTTAAGAATAAAAACCACGCACATTAAATTTGAGCTAGATATAAAAAGACCAAATTACCACCGCGTTTTTTAATCATTATTAATCATGGACGTTGATTTAGATAAGATCAATGGCTCCCATCTCACCGCACCTCTGCACCTGAGCGCACCATCCGTATTTTAACTTAGTTCCATATATATATATATATATATATATATATATATATATATATATATATATATGTATATATATATATATATATATATATATATATATATATATAATATTTTAATCCTTGATCTCTAATTACTATTGATTGATTGTTGGGTCTAAAGTGTGGATTTTTATTTATTTATTTACGGAGTATTTATTTATTTATTTCCGTTGAATTAGTGTAAGTTACCCGATGAAAATAATATATAGTCTTAAAAAAAAAAAAAAAAAAAAAGTTTATCCTAGAATAGCAGTCAACGTCGTATCTGTAGCTGGCTACGATGACTGGTTTGGGAGCCATATGCAACGGTAAACGTACCAAACTGTCTAACGGTGTGCCATCTAACGCTACGTTCAGTCTAGTACTGTGAATTGCCTAATTAATTTGAAGTTCAATAAAAAAAAAAAAAAATTCACAAGATTTAAATATTGCGTGATGCTACATTATAATAGAGTGAGTAGTATTAAAAAAAAATATAATATTTTTCAAGGCACATTAGGTAAATCAATTCTTATGTAATAGCTTATAAACTATACAAAAGAGGTAATCACGTAAACTAAAAAGATCTTGTATAGAAAATTATGCTCCACTGGGATGACAATTTATATCATGCACCAAGGTCCACATAACATTATGGATCCTGAATCACTTGTAAGGTACAGAATCTTATAACACAAGACACAAAAAATCACAACACAAGACAAATACACATGTTATATATTTACTTATTTTTTTAAATCTGATTTAGGCACATAATTTGTGTTCATAGGCACAAAATTTCACAACACACGACATAGAAATTCATAATATAAGACGCAATTACTAATATATTTCAGGAACAGATCGAATTCATACTCTTAAAGTACATAATTTCATAACACAAAATACAAAAATTCACAACATAAGATACATACACATGTACCAGACTCGGATACTTATTTCGGGCTAGGAAATAAATATTTAAAAGATAAAATTAAATTTAAATAGATGAAGAAAATTGGATAACATGCGCAGATGCTCTTGCATGCTTCGGCAGACACAGAGAGGCCCGCAAGGTTTCGGATAAGCTCATAATTATATCCTTCATTTCTTATTATAAACAAATCCTACTAATTAACAATTCTTGTCTAGGTGTTTTTTTTTTTTTTTAAATAATTTTTTTTTAAAAAAAAAATACTTATGACTTTGATTGTTATTTCCATTACCATGAGATAATCAATTTGAATCACGCTAGTATAGTTTAATTTTTACTTAAATAAATAAAAACTTCGCTTAGAATTCTTTAACATGTTGCGCCATTACGAGAGTCGATCTTCCAACATTGCAGGTTTAATATACACGAATTAAATGATTGCGACTAACCCCGAAAAGGGTGACCAGTTAGTAGGTTATAAAACATGATTCTCATGTATATTTAAAGGTCACGAGTTTGATTATTGTCAACAATTTCTTGGTCAGATCAAGCCCATCACATGAGTCTTCCTAGTGCGATTTACCTCTCCTATGACATTTGCAACCTATTACACAAAAACGAGATTTACCTAGTACATAGAGGGAATTACTGCGAGTTCCCGAGCTCCGTCACAAACAAAAAACAAAAAAAAAAAATTGTTGTCTTTTCTTCCTACTTAATTTTCTTTATTTTCACCTATTTGATCTAACATATAAATTATATAAAAGCTAATGATGATAAAATATAAATATATAGAAAATGTGTTGGTAATTGGTATATATAACTATTTGCGATGATAGTTTATACATTATCATGCTTGTTTGATAGGACTTTAAGGATGGTAAATATTTTGTCATTAGTGTTAACATAAAAATATTCTCAACATGTGAACCTCAACCCTTTAGTTAAGTTCAAAGAAATTTGCATTAGGTCATTATTTTACTAATTATACTTTTTCATGTTACATATTTATTTAATCACACATGTTAACCTTTGACTAATTAATATGTGTAAAACCTTTTACATATTGCTAATAGGCATGTGATGAATGTTTAAAACATGTTTTCTTTTATTCTAATAGCACCATTATATGTATATATACAACATATATATAACCCTTTAATTTTTTTTTTTCACAGATCTAAATATTGAAAACATTTTTACATTTTGTACCCAAAAAAAAAAAAAAATTGATAACTTTTTTTTATCCTTAATTGTTTTTCTTATTTTTTATATGAAAACACAATGTGACAATTTCATTGTATTGGCAAACTCGTCCTACTCCCCGCTCTCATCCTAGTCTCCACTGTAATAGTGATTGGGATATGTTCCCGTGAAGAATTAAGGAGAAATTATTATCATTATTAAATACTATGTCATATGCATATTTACCCCCCACCCCCCCCCCCCCCGACTCAAATTAAGAAGGCTAGGCCAATAAGTCGCTCCCACATGACAATAACTTAGAGCATCTACATTAATGTTTTTTCATAATTTTTGAGGACAACATAGCTTATATGGAGGAGAAAGAAGGATGAGAGAGAAGAGTTGAGGTGCTCCTCCAAGGTTAATTTTTTGTGGGGCCAGTCAGGAAAGAGAAAAGGAAAAAGAGAAGCTCTACCGGCGTGTGAGGCTTACACAGACCTTTTTTTTTTTTTTTTTTTCTATTACATTGTAGTATCTGCTCATTTGTAGTAGTGTTCTTAAATTGTTCTATTTATTATTTTCTTTTTTGACATGACAATACAGCCCGATACTGGAGTAGAAGATACGAAAATAGATAGAGATAGAGATAGAAAGTTAGTTGTATAGTATCTCTATTTAAATAACCAAACTAAGGCTTCTCCTCCCATGCACTTGTCTTCCCCACCTCCAACACAGCTCCTTCCCTGTCCCTCCCACAAACATAACTTCCCACTCTTTCATGGCTACCTCGTCTCCCTGTCCTTAACCTGTCCCACAACACAACACTTCAAGTCCTCCCTCCCACACTCCTTTAAATCCCCCACCCCGTTTCCCCTTTCCTTCAATATTCTCTGACACACACACACACACACACACACCCTTATCTTTCTGTCGTCTCAGGTTGTGTTTTCCTCAGCTCACTTCCTTGTCCGACAAGTTACCCTTTCCTCGCTGCAATGTCTAGCCGGAGGTCACGTTCCCGACAGCCGGCGGAAAGTTCCAGGATTTCCGACGACCAGATTGCCGACCTCGTCTCCAAGCTGCAACGCCTCATCCCTGAAATCCGTGGCAGACGTTCCGACAAGGTTCCTTAATTTCATCAACCGTACCCTTTTTTTGTTTTATAACAACGTTCTTGTCTTTTGTTACATTTTTGGTTATTACACTGTTATAATGTAGTATCTGTTCATTTATATATTTTCTCAATTTATTAAAGCACAAAGAGTCAATAATCTCTCAACTTATTGAACCACAAAGAATCAATACTGTCCCATTGAATCCATAACTTCTCATTTTAGAGAATCATTTCGTTTCACTTGATCACAATATCATTGATTTATTTCGGAATTTCATTCTTCTCTTCTTGCATTTGTGAGTATAGGTATATGTGGACTTGGTTTCCCCATTTGAAGATAAGTTCCGGGCAAGGGTCACATTCTCATTCCGGCCTCTTGCCCACAATAATACAAATCCGCACACCCCTCATTTATTGCATATCTTGCGGTGCACAATTCCTTTTAACCGCGCAACTTGCGCTACAACATGCGGAGTGAATCTAGTCGAGTTTTGGTCAGATTCCATTTTAGATTGTTATTCTGTTGAGATTTAGTGTGACCCTATTCGGGGCAGATCTTTTGAGATATAAATTATTTCGAGTATCATTTTTAGGTCATAGACCTGAACTCGAATTGTAAGTTACGTTTCACATTATGCATTTGGTCGAGTAACAACATCTTATCTTGCTTATACTCTATCCGACCCCATTCAAGATATTCTATGCATGTGAGTTACATTTCATATTCTTTGTTAGCTATATACTAACAAAAAATGACGATAGTGATACATAATTTTCTTTGTATATGTTTCGTGGTTTCGATAAACAAAATAATAATGTGATTGAAAATATTTGTACGTATGGTTTCAACAGGTTTCTGCCTCGAAGGTGTTGCAGGAGACATGCAACTACATAAGAAGCTTGCACAGAGAAGTTGATGACTTGAGCGATAGGTTATCCCAGCTTTTGGAATCCACTGATGGTGATAGTGCCCAAGCCGCCATTATTAGAAGCTTACTTATGTAATAACTATTAATTTTTTTTACTTATTATGATATCCGGTATTTTCACTACTATCTTGTGAAACTAATTAACCCGGGATTGATATGGGTTATGGTCATAAAATTTGACTTGAAAAAGGTCCTGACCCGAACTACTGCTACTACTATTATTGTTATTATTATTATTATTAACTGTGTTTTTATGTTCAGACTTCAGGTAAGCTAGCTAGCTACCTACTTAATGTACTTCATTTCCAGTTTTTAATATAATAATATATCACAACATTATCAGCTTCTTTTAATTAATTTCCCTTTTTGTATAATGTTTTGTCTTGTCTGTTTCCATTGCTCAACGTAGTACATTTTTGACAAACTCCAAAACATTGACACATGGCATAAGATATAATGTTGCCTTTCAATTCTATTTTGTAATCTTAAAACATGTATTAGTTGAACCTTCTAAGAGTATCCCAAAGAGGGTTTTTGCTAAGAGATGAAATTTTTTGGTGGAGTTTTCTCTTGTAAAACTAAAACTTTGTGGGTTTATTGAATGGGAGAAGAAAACAAAGCAGACTGAAAGAATTTGCATTTAAGGGATGGATGCGCCCAGCAGGGCGCGTGCACTACACACGCTCGCTGGGCACGTTATGGCAGTTTTTTTTTTTTTTTTTTGTCAATTTATGTTTTTTTCCTCCTTTTTTTCTCTTCGATCTTTCCTTCTCTCTCTTATATGTATTTGAAAAACCCACCAAAAAATTCATACTAATGAAGATGTGACTATCTCATCTCCCGCCTACACATCTTATTTAAAATAAAATGAAATAGCATTTTTTACCATTCAACATCATAATTTTTTTTTACTAATCTATATATACTTTTAGTTGAAATATATATGATACAATTACTAAGACTATGTGGTTTAATGATACCTGGGTTGGACTTTTAGTTGGAAGGTTGTGAGTTTGAGTCTCAGAGGAGGCGTTATATGAACAGATACTACATTTTAATATAGCTAGTAGCATTATATATACGACGACACAATTTAATCGTTATTAATTTTATTTTTTATTTTTACAATTTTATTTGGTTTGAAATTGGATAGATGATGTAACAATTGAGTTGGAAAGTAACATGGAGGACCACAAAATGGTGGGTCAGATGGTTCCATTGGAGGCACAGAACATAAGAAATCTATCCAAGTCTGGATCATATCTGCATGTGACTTATTCAGACCCTACTTCACTTTTATACACTCCTTATTTTGAATAATTTGGTATTCGGGTTGGAGTTCGTGGCACAAAATTTTCTTAATATAATTTATTTTTTTGTATAATTTGTCAATTATTATATAAGAATGAGATTTACCTGATGCACGCATACACTGCACCTTTGAATAATGATTACACCTTTTTTTATCACCCAAATAATTTAGTATACACTAAGCAAAGTCTTATAAATATATAAAAGAATTTGACTATTAATTTGTTTATACACACACATATACTTATGACAAACACGATAATAAATTTCAAAACTTACATTCATTGCAGAAAAAGATGTAGCTTAATAACAAGTTAATTATGTTCCGAGCACCCATATGCAGGGTACGTGGAATGCAACTACGTTAAAATCATTGAGGGAGTACTTTGCCACGCTTTGAGGTCCTACCTAGCATGATGAACAAGATTAGTATTGACTGGTGGATGAAAGTTGTAGTTAGATTAAAAAAAAAAAAACCACATTTCATATAATATTTAACATATAATAATATAATAATATATGGTATAAGCTTATGTTTTGTTAAAGGTGTTTGTTTGAAGTATATATTTGCACTTAATTAAGCAAGGTATGTATTTGCTCGTGCAATGCAAATTGGAGCACACTTTAATATGATTAATTGAATTTGTCAATTATTGTAATTTATGAGTTAGCTATGAAATATGAATATGAGCTATCTTAATTTAAATTTTATTGAAAATCATACTCTATAATCTATGACAAATTATACCGTGGATCACTGATACAAGTTCATTTCTAGTGTATTAAACGCTCCATTTTAATTAATACACTTAAAATAAACTTGTAATATATGAAATCTAAACATGTAGTATACTAAAGATAAACATTTAGGTTAGTGAAATAGTTATATTGTGGAGTATGGTCCACATTGAAAGGTGGACCACTAATCTAAATGTTCCTTTTTAATATATTGAAAGTTTATTTTTAATTTTTTGTAGTGTACTAAATATTTATTTTTTGAATGTTAATTTTTAGTGTGTTGCGGGTTTAATTTAGGATACTATCTAAAAATAAAGCTATAGTATATTTAAAGTGTTCAGCATACTAAAAATAAGGTCAAATTATGTTGTGGAATCGTGACCACCTTGCAAGGTGGACACGGTTCTAAAACTATTATAATTGTGAATATAGAGTTCAAAAATTATGAACATAGAGTTATGAACATAGAGTTCTATAATTATGAACACAGAATTCTGTAATTGTGAATATAGAGTTCAATAATTGTGAATATGAAGTTCAAAAATTATGAACATAGAGTTCAGTAATTTTGAACATAGAGTTCTGTAATTGTGAATATAAAGTTCAATAATTGTAAATATGAAATTCAAAAATTATGAACATAGAGTTCAGTAATTATGAACATATAGTTAAGTAATTATGAACATAGAGTTCAGTAATTATGAATATAGAGTTAAAAAATTATGAACATAGAGTTTTATAATTATGAACATTTAGTTCAGTAATTATGAACATAGAATTCTGTAATTGTGAATATAGAGTTCAATAATTATGAATATAAAATTCAAAATTTATGAATATATAACTTTATAATTATGAACATATAATTCAGTAATTATGAACATAGAACTGTGTCCACCTTACAAGGTGGACACGAATTCAAAGCATAACAATTGCAACTTTGCAATGTGGGCCACGGTTCATAGTATAATTTGTCAATCGTTATGCTGTGCATCCGTATGCACCATGCATGGTGCATACGGATGCCAAAACGACGTCGTTTTATTAAAAAACACGCGTCTCCCCTTTACAAAAAATTCAGGTTCGATTCCCAGCAACAACATTATATTGTTCATTCATTCTGGAATTTTAGTTCATAAATTATGGAATTATAGTTCATTGATTATGGAATTATAGTTCATCGATTATGGAATTGTAGTTCATCGATTCTGAAATTTTAGTTTATAGATTATGAAATTTTAGTTCATTCATTCTGGAATTTTTAGTTCATAGATTAGATTATGGAATTATAGTTCATCGATTATGGAATTTTAGTTCATATGTTGTTGCTGGGAATTGAACCTGATTTTTTTTTTTTAAGGGGAGATGCGCGTTTTATTAAAACGACGTTGTTTTTGCATCCGTATGCACCATGCATGGTGCATACGGATGCACAGCATAATTTGCCATAATTTGTCTATATTCATTTATTGGGCAGCATAACGTGGGCCTAGGCCCAATAAGGGTGGGCTTTGGACGAACTACCAACAACTTTCTCATGGGAGAATCACAACATATTTGACACTAGATTTTCTAAGAAAATATATTGTAGATAACGTTGATGGATGAAAATCCTATGGACCAATCGTATAAAGAAGGATATCCGTACATTAGATCGTAGAGTTGGAGTGTGAATTGAGAAAGATGAGGTGAAATGTCATATTTGCCTTGTTGGGTAAATAGATGTTAGCTGTTAGCTGATTGAGTTAATTAGTGGGTATAACTAGTTGATAACATTAGCTGATTGTGAAAAATTGTTTGGTAAATTAGTTGTTAGCGGATAACTGTTTAGAATAATTTATTTTCTGAAAAAGTTAATTGAAAAAGTTGCTTTGAACAGTTTTTTAAATTTTAGCATTTTAGAATTACAAAAAGCTAATTAACCAAACACTTATATTGATTTTTTAACCAAGTCAAACAATTAATAGTGGTCAAATAAACCAAAATTTCCTCATGCAGACAACCCTACTACCTATAGGTGTGGTCAATCAAATCGAGAAGACGATTCGGAACTTCCTATGGGGAAGCAAAGATGGTGAGTCAAAGTGTAACTTAGTCTCCTGGGAAAAGGTTACTCAAGACAAAGGCAATGGAGGTCTAGGAATCCGAAGTCTGGGAAATATGAACTTAGCTCAGTTAACCAAACTCGGTTGGTTGCTTCAATCAAATGAGCACAGTCAATGGTCAGAAATAATGAAGCTCAAGTACACAGTCAACACCAAGGACCCCTCCTCCTGGCAACCGAAAACAAGCATGTCAAATGCTTGGAAAGGTATTCTCAAGACAAAGTCGTTCCTACTCAAAGGATCCAGAAAGATTGTTAAAAATGGTAGGAGTACGTTGTATGCTCGAGTTGCTCATTACTAAGATAAAGACAACGGGTGGGCTTGGGCCAAGTTCGAGAATCTCATCCCCCGGACATAAAAGACAGGATTGCAGCGATCACATTGCTGAGTGATGAAGACGCAAAAGATTTGGTGTGTTGGGGCCCGGATAGCGTGGGCAAATTCTCAGTTAGCTATGCATACTCCCTGATTGCAGATGCCCCTACATCAATGGACAAGCAAGCCTGGAACAATCTATGGAAGCCAAAAATCCCCAGTCGCATCCAAACATTCCTCTGGCTCGCAAGACAAGATAGACTTATGATCAATATGAACAGATGGAGACGAGGCTTTACCAATTGCAACGCTTGTGATCTCTGCCACTGTACCCCTGAATCCACGGAGCACATTCTTCGAAGTTGCCCTGAAGCCAATGCAATCTGAGAATGTCGACTACCAGGCATGCTAAGATCCACACGGGACAAACCATTTATAGAATGGTTTGATATGGGGGTTCGGGGCTTGTCTAAGGGGATCCAGTAGCACGATCAGGGTATCCTATTTGCTGTGGCCTCCTGGTGGATCTGGAAATGGAGAAATGAAAGAATTTTCAATGGTAAAAAGATAGATAGCATATGCATAGATACCAATTGATCTTGCTATGTTAAGAATAAAGGAGAAATTAAGAGTTCAATTCTTACTATTAACATTATTTTTAAATTCTAATGCAAAATTGCAAACACATTTAAACTAATAAATATTTAAATAAATTTACAATGGAGGTATGTCGAGGGGTGGCGGGTTATACGGGTGTGCCCGCAGGTTATATAAGTCATGAGACCAACCTGTATAACACGGGTACCCATTAGGGGCTAAACGGGATGATCTATTTGGATCGGATCAGGGTACCCCTTAGGGGCTAAACGGGATGATCTATTTGG